TGATTCACCAGTAACTATATTCTATCAACTCCTTATTCTGTAAACTTGAGAACATGGAGTAAAAAAATAAAATAAAAATTGCAATTACACACTATGCAGTGGTCACTTTAGCTCTGAAGGAAAAAAATCGTTGTGCACGTCATTGCCATGCGTTATTAAAATAGCATTTATACTGAACTATACCGATACCAGATTATCAACAATACTGATTTTAATTTACAATTTTATGCCGATGTTTGTTCCATGAAATCCAAAGCTTTCAGCAGCAATTACACAAACAGCCTTACATCTTGGTTGACTGACATCTAACCCATTAATCCATCTGGATTGTTGACTATTACTCATCAAGCAAATTACAAGTCTCCGAAGCATAATAAATGTCCTGCAGCACAACTGAGCTCGATAAACTGATGGTGGGGGAAACACTATACTTAGCTCGCCTTCCATCTCAACTGGAACATTAACAATGTCATCCAGAAAAGACGCGCCATGGTCACAGTGGATGCAGACAGGTGAAGTTCTCAGACAAAACCATCAAAAACCTAACAGACAGAAACTTCCCCTGCTGCCTAGGTGTTGAAGAAATGTGACAAATCCTAAACCACTCCCCTAAACATTTAATCTTTTGACATCAATAAAAGTCTGTCAAACAGTGGGAAACCACTTATATCCTGGAGGTAATAATGCAGCTAAAATCCCTTATCTGGACAAAATGTAATTTTTGTAACTAAATGTGATGAAAAATGGCAGACACCTTTGTCACCACTGCTGTTACAGAATAGTTCTATTCACACAGAAGTTCCTTGAATCAGACAAGGGATGGTGGCCTTACCCTGACAACCCAAATAAAATACTTGGGATTAAACTACTACATGAAATTTTGTCTTCGAGTTCACTCAGGAACCATGGAATTTTGAGTTTTGAATGTGCATTTGAAAAGTGCATCATCTGTCCTGCATGTGCATTGCATTTAAAAACAGAAACAGACCATCTTAGAAGTCATGTTGGAAAAACTAGTTTTTTAGACTGGAGTACTGCAATATCAGGTGTACCAATGCTTCCAATTTTTTTTTCCTTAATAAAAAAACACTTCAGCTGCACTGATGAAAAAATAAGTCCGATTTGTCCCATAAAATTAGAATTTTTATTGGTTTTGAGTAAGTCAATCTTAACAAAATAAAATCTCAAAGATGGGGCTCTAAAAATCAAGATAGTCCAATACCTTAACTGCACACTTCCTCCTTGGAATGCAGTCCTGCTTTGATTCCAGGAGTGGGAACCAGACTGATCAGTTATTCCCCTTTTAAGAACCTGAAGCCAAACAGATCAGGAGATGAACACTTTCCTTTTAATATGGATGGCTGAAGTGACCCAAGCTCTCTAGCAGCAGTTTTACCATTCACCTGGTCACTGGGACGGTCTTTGCTATACTTCTGAACCAATTTTCTTATAGGTTCCTATCCAACTTTGGTTTCCTCCTGCCTGGTTCTGCTAAAGATTTCTTCCTCATGGAGTTTTTTCCCTTTCCACAGTCGCCTTCATGCTTGCTCAAGATGAGTTCTGTGATGTAGTGAAATCCAAAGCAGTCTGTTCAGTGCCCCGAGATGACTTGTGTTGTGACTTGGCGCTATATAAATGAACTGAATTGACTTCGAGTTCAAGATGCGATTGTCATTTATGCTCAGAATTGTTAAAGGTTTAAAAACATATTCCTAACCCCTGGCATACAATTAGCCATTTTTCCCATGACCACCACAATTGAACAAAAATATTTTAAACACAATTTACCATGTTAGGGTTTACCAAAAATACATTGTGCATTTGTATTTTGTTTAGTTTGAAATAGAGCTGTCATTTCTAACATGAACCCAGAGCCCAGCCCAGATTAGGGCTGGGCCATAGTGTGAGCCAGGTCAGTGTTGGGCTTTTGATCATGTTAGCGGACGCGCGTGGCTGATGATCCAATTATATGGCAACATGGCTTGCAATACAATCACCAGCCACACGTGGCCATTTGACCGTGCACTGACTGGTCTTGAAAGAGGTTTAAAAAAATAAAATAAAATAAAAAAGTTCAGTTAAGCTTCAGATGGAACTATACTGCCAGGGATCCATCAAAGTCCAAATGGATGTTCAGCCGCTGCACTTAGCGGACACGTGCAGCCGACAACCCAAACAGGTGAGATCACAAAAATATTCGACATGTCAGAGCAGGGTCTGTGTCTGACTAATGCAGGGAATTAATGCACTTTAACGGCCATGAAAGGACAAAAACTCCCTCAGCTCCGATCTTCTGCCCCCTTTTACTCAGTCACACGTGTCCGCCGACCGTTAACTATACAAGCAATCAAAGCGTAATAATTTTTTTTTTTTTTTTTTTTTTTTTTTTTTTTTTTTTTTTTTTTTTTTAAGTCAGGTTCAGACCTGTAATTACTGTCAATTCGTCGTCGGGTACAGAAATGATGGCTGTGGGCGGGGTCGGATTTTTTGGGTACAAATGCAACTCTAGTTTGAAACGCCTGGTTTTTTTGTGGGTTGGTTGGGTTTTGTTTCGTTTGTTTTTATTTTTTGGGGGGGGGGGTGGCGTGGGATCCATGACAGCCACATACAGTCTCAATACAGTGCACACTTATTCTTACTTCATGTTGAGGTCCCACATTTGGTCAGTTTTCTCCACACTTTTCATTTTGGTCATTTAGTTGCAGACTTGATAAAAATACAAAATCCCACTGTGCCTGCTGCGCTCCTCTGCCAAATATAAACTAATTTGCAATTAAAATGCTCATGGTCAATTGGGCAAATTATTTTCCAGTATGCCGTGTGTGTGGGTGTGCAATGGGAGGGGGTGTTGCAGAAATGTACATTCACTACTATGGTCAAAATAAAGGCAAAGATCCCAATTACAAGTCATTTTACTTCAGCAGACAGCCATCTGAGGTATTTACAAGCGGCAAATCCACACAAGCACGCAGTTCCCTTTATTGCCGTCATGCAACCCAGAACCCTGCAGAGTCCAGGTGTTTCCCAAGTCCTGCAGCTGTTGACAGTAGGGGAAAACAAAATAAGGATCTGTTAAGTGGGTTGTGTATCCACGAAAGCAGCAGTAGTCATCCCCGAGATCAAAAGGGTACATTTTTGAGGTCACAGCTTTTACGAAGCCTAATCCTTATCGTGCATCAGTCGCTATAAAAATAAGTTAATGAGAAATGATCTAAAGCCTTTTAAGAAAGAAAATATGTGCTGCGACTTTGTCAAGATTCTGTATGATGTTAAACACAGACATGTTATACTGGCTTTATTAAAACACGAGGCGCACAAGATAAATTCAAACATGTGAACTGTACAGTCTGAAACATTCCATCTTTGGCTGGTAAACTAGAGCCTGAAGGAATGAGCACAACACAGACGGCTGGTGGGGGTTCAAGCTGTTGAATGATCAGAAGCAGTCCTTTGGCAGCTCCGTTCCCTTCTTTGGTAAACACAGCATTTATAGCAATTAAGTCAATGATTTAAAAGCATCAGCCTTTACACTTTGACCCATGTTCTGCTTTTGTTGCAGCTGAACAGCACAAAGCATCAAAACACCTACAAATGGTTTGTTTAAACAGCAGTCTTACTTTTGAATCAGGTTTGAACTGTCTGAGAGTTTAATTTTGCCTCAAACAAGATATGACAAACATTTTTTTTTCTCTTTTTAAAGTTAAAAAAATTGGGGGGGGGGGGGGAAAAATTGAAATAAAAAAAAAAAAAATGTGTTTTCAGTAATACTTGTATATCACTACACAAGAGACATCTTTGTTCAATACAAGAAGCGTTTGAAGTGCTGACTACATTGAACTGAAAAGAATAATTGCAATTAAAAGTTACCGAAATGTGCCAACATTTAGAACTTAAAGAAAAAGGTTTTAAAAAATAAAAAAGTCTAAATTAAAAAAGGTTATTAGGCTTTGAAAATTATTCTTGATCCTCCAAATAAGTGTTTGCTCAATAAGTCCTTAAATTTAAGAAAAAAGTAATTTTGTATGTTTAGTAACTAGTTCAAATCTCAAGACCAACAACAAAAATGTGTGGGCAAGGTGAAGCACCCACATCTACCTCTACCACATAATTTTCTCCACTCTGGGTCCTCGAGTAAGGCCCTTAACCCTCCAGCTGCTCCCCAGGCACCATGGATGGCACCCCTCTGCTCCACATAGAGGCCTGTGGTAGCATCAGGAAGTGCACCAGGCATAAAAGCAAATCGCCAAATTTTCATGCGAGTGTGCCCACTGTCACAACCCCTGCAGTCAAAATGAAAAGAATTGTGCCAGCTAAAAATTAGAGTATGGTTTATTAGTAGTTTCAGCACAAAAAGCCTGCATTTGAAGCCTTCTGGACCGAAGGTGAAATGTTTCAGCACAAAAAAAAAAGAAACTGTCCAGATGACCTGACTGAAAAGTATTGGGTTTATTAGTAGTCTTTCATAAAGTCTGTCTTCAACTTAGATTGACTGTCATAAGAAAACGTGATACAATCTGGATCTTACAAATGCATACACTCGAGTCTATAAGCAAACATTCAGTGCAGCACAAGCCTTTGTGTACTGTGTATCAATTACATATGAATAAAAACTTGACAAGCTTCACTCTGCTGAAAGCAGGAAATACTTGCACCACACAAAATTAAAATCTAAAAAAAAAAAAAAAAAAAAATCTTGCTAGCATAGATATTTTTTAAAAGCAAAAAGAAAAATCAAATCCCTGAACTGCATGTTGACATGCATGTACAGGTAATGCCAACACTTTGCTGACAAAACTCCCAATTTACATGAAGCTAAACTCCTGCTGCTGTCCCTGAAGGACGATCCCCTTCAAAAACCCCAAAACAAACTGCTCTTTATCGATTTCAAAAAAGAAAAGACAGAAAAAAAACCAACATTGTTTACTGAAGTGTTTTGCAGCTTCATGAAGGTCCTATCAGTATACAATTTTTATTTGTGTGGGTGTATGACATATTCAGACCTTTTAAGATGACCTCCAGTTCGTCTCGTAAGATGTCAAATGTGGTGTATCTCGAGCTGGTCTCTGGGATGATGTGCTTTTTGAGCCATCCTCCACAGGCGTACTGATAAAAGTTTTCACAAGGATCCGCGGAAGAATCCATATTCTCAAGGAGACGAGACGCTGCAAAGGGAGGAAAGCAATAAGCTCCAAGAACCAGGAGAAAGTCCCCACATAAAGAAATGTACTAACAGAATCCACAAGAATAATGTGGGGGACAACCAAGAAATGACAACAAAACATAAGATATAACTCAGGATTTTAAGACAAGATGTTTCTAATAAAACTTACAAACAGATGGCACCGGGTGACAGGAGACCAAACAGGCAAAACTTGTGAGCATTAACAGAGCAAGACAGAGGGACATGATGAAATTCTGGCACTGACCAAGGAAGCGCAGGAAAGCTGTAAAATGACTGGACTAATCATCTGATCAAACACAGGTGTGGGACCTTCAGGCTGCTCAACAGGTTTAAACTAAAAGGCTAAAAGTAAAGCCTGTGGAGATGCAAAAGGAAAACCCTTTTCAAAATAAAACAGGAAGTGTTGCTTTGCCAAGACAAGGACCATGGAAAAAAAAAGTTAAAAACCAAAATGAAAGTCTGGCAGAAGAAATGAGCCAAACATTACAGGGCATGACAAGTTTTACTTCTAATGAGGTCTTTAAGGAACTACAAAGCCCTGAGATTAGAAATGCCTACCATGTGACTAATTATTAATATGGCATTTGGGGAAATTGACTTAATCGCTTTACGCTAAAAAAAAAACGTGTTTGAGAGCAGATAGGTTTGAACATGTTAAAGACTGGAGCCAGCGGCTGATAAGCTGAATGGTGACAGCAAAGCAGCTAACAAGCTATTTATAATGGTACAGTAATTAATTGTCCTACACATCTGAGGAGCCGTAAAGATCATTTTGTGTCACTACTGGATCTAATGTACAGTATTGAATCTTTTTTTTTTTAATGACATAACTTTTATCACATTACATTTAAATAAAAATTATATTCAATTCTCTTTACATTAAAATAAAATGTCATAATTATTCAAGGTGCTTATACAAAGTCAGATACCTGTTTTATTTATTTTTTTGCTAATTTATTATCAATCCATCCATCCATCCATCCTTCATTTTTACCTGCTTCTTCCTTTTCGGGTCGCGGGGGTCACTGGTGCCCATGTCCAGCTGTGTGAGAGGCAGGGGACACCCTGGACAGGTCTCCTGTCCATCACAGGCACACATAGAGACAAACAATTGTTCACTCTCTCACTCCCACCTAGAGACAATTTAGAGTTACCAATCAGCCTAACGTGCATGTTTATGGTCTGTCAGAGAAAACCGGAGTACCTGGAAAAAACCCACGCATGCATGGAGAAAACATGCAAACTCCACCCAGAAATGCCCCCGGCCGGGATTTGAATCAGGGTGACTTGCTCGCTGAGAGGAGGCAGATCTACCAACTGTGCCACCATGCTTAATTTATTGACTATTTAATTATTACATATGTTTATAAATTTGTACAACTTTTAGATTGTGTTTTTATTGTTTAATTGCATCAAAACAAATTGGGTGGTTAACTGGTTGGTTGGTTGGTTGGTTAGTTGGCTGGCTGGCTAGGGCAGCATGGGGGCGCCATTGGTAGAGCTGCTGCATCTCAGCGAGCAGGTTACCCTGGTTCAAATCTCAGTCCGGGGGCCTTTCTGGGTGGAGTTCGCATGTTCTCTCCATGTATGCATGTTTTTTTTTTTCCAGGTGCTCTGCTTTCCTCCCACAGACCAAAAACGTGCATGTTAGGCTGACTGGTAACTCTAAATTGCCCCTTTGGTGTGAGTGACAGAGTGACTGGTTGTTTGTCTCGTTTGTCTCTATGTGTCTCTGTGATGGACTGGAGACCTGTCCAGGGTGTCCCCTGCATCTCACACAGTGATTGCTGGACATGGGCACCAGTGACCCCTGCAAACCGAGAAGGAAGAAGTGGGTAAAGATAATGGATGGATGGATGGATGGATGGATGGATGGATGGATGGATGGATGGATGGATGGATGGATGGATGGATGGATGGATGGATGGATAATGTATCACATCCTATCACATCATGTGGCATTGTATTGTGTTGTTTTTTATTATCTCTGTACAAGGTCTTAGAATAAAAGGACAGATGTGACCACTGATTTTATCTTGTAAGAAGAACTAACAACTATTGCTAAAACAGTATATTTCAGAACCTGTCCCACTTTTTGCAAACCATTAAAAGCTTCTTAAAATATGTCATGCTGCTCTAGTGACAAAAAATAAAGTTTGAAAAAAGAACACTAAAAAGATTAAATATGTAGTCCTAAACACTGTTTTCTGTTATTATGACACCATTCACAGAAAAGATAAAACACAACATTTGAAACAATTTGCAAGGATCAAACAGTGTAACAGCTGTAATTGGCTCAGCACCAGCAGTGGAAATATGTTAACTTTTTTTGAGTAGCAATTAAATTACAGACAGCTTCTCAGAGATCCCTTGTGACAAGGTTGTCTGTCAAATTTGACTGAATTGGGACACCAGCACTGGAAAAATGTATCAGAAATAAATTGCCATCTGTTGCTGTAAACCAGTACTAGAATTTTTTAATCTTCTGCATATATTACTATATATATATATATGTATACTAAGGATAAATCATTCTTCTGTCAACCTTGGAGTCTGGTAGTAGAAAATAAAATGATCTATGATGTTGTACTAAAGGAGGTAGTGGGAAGTGTTGTGCATGCAATATTATAAAAACATTATATTAATGGATTATAAAGCTAGTTGTATGTCCACTAGCATAAAAATAGTTTTTATATTTCTGAAAATGGGTTTTAGTTGTGTATCAAAATATCTGTAGTTAGTGCAGTTTTGCACAGACTACAGATATTTTGGTACACAGACTATGGATCTGCTGATTGCATCAAAATGCTTTGTTGAACTGATTCTGCTTAAGACACATTAAATATCCATCCATCCATCCACCATCTTCCACTTGTTCCAGAGTCGAGTCACAAGTCACAACTTGAGCAGGGAGGCCCAGACATCTCTTTCCACAGCCACCTCTTCCAGCTCTTCTGAGAGCATTCCAAGGCATTCCTGAACCACCAGAGATAGACTCTTCAGCATGTCCTGGGTCTTCCCTGGGGTCTCCTTTTAGTTGGACATGCACAAAACGCCTCCCTGGGGAGGTGTCCAGGGGGTATCCTAACCAGATTCCCGAACCACCTCAACTGGCTCCTCTCAATGTGGAGGAGCAGCGGTTCTACTCCAAGTCTTTACCGGATCACTGAACCTCTCTGCCGATCTCTAAGCAAAAGCCTAGCTACCCTGCAGAGAAAATTCATTTTGACTGCATGTATCCACAATCGCATTCTTTCGATCACTATTCAAATTCATGATCATAGGCGAGGGTAGGAACGTAGGCAGATCAGTAAGCAAATAGTTCACCTTGTAGCTCAGCTCTCTCTTCACCTGAACAGACCAGCACAGAGTCCACAATACTGTGGAAGCTGCACCATTACGTGTGTCAATCTCACACTCAATTCTTCCCCCACTCATTAACAAAACCAGGAGATACATGAACTCCTCCACTTGGGAAGTAACCTGAATCTCATCCTGGAGATGACCATTCACCCTTTTAAGACTGAGGATCATGGTCTCAGGTTTGGAAGCGCTGATCCTCATCCCTGCCATGTAACAATCGACTGGGAATTGCTCCAGTGAGAGCTGGGGATCACGACATGATGGTGCCAACAGAACCACATCATCTGCAAAGATGGAGTCCTGCAGCCACCAAACCAGACTCCTTCCTCCCTTTGACTTGACCAAAACATTCTAACCATAAAAGTTATTAGAATCAGTGCCGACAGGTACACATTAAACATACCTACACACATTTTTCTTGAACACAGTATAATTCTTTAAAAGTAATTCTACTGAAACAACCTTTGAGGTAATGATCAGAGCAGTTTGAAAAGAAACATGTTTGAAGTAGCCATTTCCTCAAAACATGATTACAATTCTTCGGTAGCAGCCTGGATCTTATCATTCTATTATCCGCTTAGAAAAATCAAAGCCTTCAAAATGACACAATAAAGAAAAGGCACAAACACACACACACCTTACCTGACTGTGTGCATTCGGCTGTGGTGCAGATTTCATCTGCAGGAAAACACAAAATAATCACTCAGTGGGTTTTTGGCATTCATCAATCACTGTGTTAAACTCATTCCCTCCTTTTTGTTCCAATTTATTGTTGTTTCTTCTCAACACTGTTCCCTTGTTGATACACAGATTTAACCTGAAACCACTCAGAAATGCTGCTTTTGTACCCTGTCAGTCGTGCTAATCACAGTGAATTTGGGATGCGCTGACACACCCGCAAACTGCTATTTGACCTTTAAGACATGGCTTCATGGGTTATGTGTGAAGGCTCAGAATGTGAACACGGTCGGGTGCACACATCCCTACAGACATGAACAAGTCATTGATTTTTTTTTTTTTTGATTTTCCTGACAAAGCAGCTTAAACATTTATAAAACACAAGACTGCAAACTAATATTAATGGTTCAAAACACACACGCACACACATAAACACACAAAAGCCAGTCCAGATTCATCAAACTTAATTATATGACCTTTTCTGACAGGATTCTGCAATCATGACCAGCTGAACTTTGTCAATAATTAATCTATGGATCTGCTGATTCTGGTTACTTGTTCTCAAACACTAATTTGCTTGCTTTACGCCTCAACAGACAGTTTGTAATTTGTAGGTACTTAAAGTGAAGGGGTTCTGTGTAAAGGTTTTGAACAATTATTACATTACTTTGTTGTATATAGCTCTTTGCACAACCTCATTTAAGAGTATAAAATATTAATTCTGATTGATTTGACAAGATGACAGGTAATCCAACCAAAGATGATGGCTGCCATTTTAAAATGAATTCAATACAATACAATACAAATTCCATAGTTTTTCATACTTTTACCTCGCTGTTTGTTGTTGTTGTTGTTGTTTTGTTTTGTTTTTTTTGCATAACATAAATATTCTTTGGATTTTTTTTTGCAGCAGCACTGAGCTGTAGCACTTTGGTGCAACCTGCATCATTTCAAGCAGAAATATCAAATTATTTCTGCAAAAATTATCATGTAATGCACAACTGATAACAATGTTCCGTTTATAAAATGTATGAATGTATTCAATGTATTCAACATGAATGTATTCAAGATCGGCGTTAAATAAAAGCAACATCAATGTGGTCCTGGCTCTGCTTGGCCTATATCTTGTGCATTTAGTCAGAATTAACTCTGTTTCTTCAAACTGGTGCAGTTCAAAGAGCTGCCTATAAACAAGAAATGAACTATCACCTTAATGAAAATCCTATATTACAGTAGAATGACATGTGTTGTATGTATTATGAAACACAATGACTTTTGAGTACCATTTTAGCAGCAAATAAACACAAAATGATAATAGATAAACAGTAATTCAGCTAAAGCAGGTTGGATCAAATTTCCCAAACAGAAGAAATTGAATCTGGACCCTGTTCATTTTCACACTTGTGTTTATACAAGATCCACTTCCCATAACATTGAGTGAGTTGAATTTACCACATAACCTGCTTTACACAATTACTTAACCCTCACACAAGATTCTAAAATGTGAGATATTAAAATATATTTCAAACTTGGACATCGTAATAGAATAACTTGAATGTAATCAATATTTTCTCCGTGTACATGTATACGCTGTGTACTGTGTTGAAAGTGTACAGCTCGAGTGTTTTGTATCACCTGAGCAAAGTACAGCTCTTCAGCATGTTTTTTTTTTGTGTGTGTTTTCCATTAACCATGAACTAAACTGGGACCGATGTCCAATGGAAATAAACAACATAAAGACAAGCGTCATGTGTTCTGAAATAAGCACTTAATATTGTGTCATTATTAAATGAATGTCCTTAAAATGTTCTTCTTCTACAAAGCTCACGTGTGTTGAAAAAAACACTCAAGATTCTAGACAGTATTATGTTCTTCAGAACACTCACCAGATTTTTGTGTGGCAAAGAGGATGATGAGGGCAACTATGACGATGAAGAGCAAAGAGACAATAGTAATGAGGCCAATCTCAAGAGAGGTCCAGCGGGGCTTCTTTGCCGATTTGGGGGTATTGGTTTCTGTCATTCTTGGGTCTCCTCCTTCACCTGCCAGTTGTATCAACTCGCCTAAAAGAAGGAAAAGGACATATCAAACATTTAACGATCAAATATCAAACTGGCCCGTGCTGTTGAACGGTGTTGTGATGCTTTGGACAGAGGTGCTAGAAAGTTTGTGAACCCTTTAGAATTTCAGCATAAATATGAACAAAAACATCATCAGATTTTCACACAAGTCCTAAAAGTAGATAAAGAGAACCCGGTTATACAAATGAGACAAAAATATTATACTTGGTCATTTATTTATAGTGGAAAATTATCCAATATTACATATTTGTGAGTGGCAAAACTTTGTGAACCTCTAGGATTAGCAGCTAATTTCAAGGTGAAATTAGAGTCAGGTGTTTTCAATCAATGGGATGATGATCAGGTGTGAGTGGGCACCCCGTCTGTGAAACATAGTAGTGGTAGTATCATGGTTTGGACCTGTACTGCTGCTTCTGGGCCAGGATAGGTTACCTTCATTGATAGACTCAATCTTCAATTCTCAATTCAATCTCAAGAGAAGGTGAGTCATGCATCAAGACAATGACCCTAAGCTAAGCACACAAGTTGTTCTACCAAAAAATGGTTTAAAAAAGTAATAAAGTTCATGTTTTGGAATGGGGCAGCACGGTGGCGCAACTGGTAGAGCTGCTGCCTCTCAGCGAGCAGGTCCCTGGTTCAAACCCCGGTCCAGGGGCCTTCTGGGTGGAGTTTGCATGTTCTCTCCGTGCATGCGTGGGTTTTCTCCGGGTGCTCCGGTTTCCTCCCACAGACCAAAAACATGCATGTTAGGCTGATTGGTAACTCTAAATTGTCCCTAGGTGTGAGTGAGAGAGTGAATGGTTGTTTGTCTCGTTTGTCTCTATGTGGCCCTGTGATGGACTTGCGATCCGTCCAGGGTGTACACCGCCCCTCGCACAGTGATTGCTGGACATGGGCACCGGCGACCCCCGTGACCCAAAATGGAATAAGCGGGTAAAGATAATGGATGGATGGATGTTTGGAATGGCCAAGTCAAAGTTCTGACCTTAATCCAATCAAAATTTTGTGGAAGGACCTGAAGTGAGCAGTTAATGTGAGGAAACCACCAACATCCCAGAGTTGAAGCTGTTCTGTACAGAGGAATGGGATAAAATTCCTCCAAGCTGGTAAATGGTAAATGAACTGTACTTATATAGCGCCTTTCTATCTTATCAAGATACTCAAAGTGATTTACACTACAATCTGTGCCATCATTTACCCATTCATACAGCATTTACTAGATCTCTACAAAGACTAATCAGTGCTTTATCACATTCATACACCGAAGGGACACACATCGAAGGCATTGAGGACGACTGCTTTAACCAGTCAGGCGGCCCCGCCCGGTGTGCAGGACTGATCAACATTTACCGTAAACGTTTAGTTGCAGTTATTGCTGCACAGTGGGGGTCACACCAGATACTGAAAGCAAAGGTTCACATACTTTACCCAATAACAAATATGTAATACTGGATAATTTTCCTCAATATATAAATGACCAAGTATAACATTTTTTGTCTCATTTGTATAACTGGGTTCTCTTTATCTACATTTAGGGCTTGGATAAAAATCTGATGATGTTTTAGGTCATATTTATGCATAAATGTAGAAAATACTTAAGGTTCACAAACTTTCAAGCACTATTGTATATCTCTACCGTCTTGTGCTTTTCTTGCTTATTCAAACTGACTAAAACCTAGCGTCCACCTGTTCTCGCTTCAGGATGTCCCAAATGGACATTTGGTTGAGACAAGTTGGAGCCTATAGGTCTCAAGAGAAATTTAATACAAGTTCTTTAACGCCTGCAGACACTACAAGACCGTAACTAAATGGCAATGTCACCATCACTGTGGTAACCCAAAAAATGGATGGGAAACTTGTTGCTGAACAAAGAAATGTGGCGTCCAACTCCCAGAGCACAAACCAAGAGTTCAAAGTTGATTTTTACTGGCGTAGTGGGTGATATGTGGCTTGACCTCTTGTTTTTAATACGGTGGTATGATGGAAAGGAAAATGTGGGTGAAATGGACAAACTCATAGGTTATATGCAAACAAGAAGCTTCAATATCATCATAATTAAAGTACATAAGAACGTAAAGTGAAACTTTATTTCATCTACGTCTTTAAAGCCAGAAAGACATTTTACATTGATAATTTCGGCAAATACTGCAGTGATAGTACTACGACAACCAGGTTAAGCAACATAAAATATTATTTCTTTTTTGCCAGGTAATTTATTCCCTTGTGCTGCAACAGACTGTAAAAATACTAACAACTATTGCTAGACATAGATATATATATATATATAGGCATATTTTCAAAGGTGGCTTTAAAAAATGTCTCTTAACTGAAGAATGTTGTTTTAAAACATTACAAACTTTGTAAAAGGATTATTTCTATTCATAACTATAACATTTTAATAGATTTTAACTTTATTTTTTATTTTTCTTAGAGCAGAAGCCAATAGGAACAGAAGATATATCCACAAGGTCAGAAACAGTTAAACTAGGAAATATCATTCAAAAACACAGTACAGTTTGAAGACTCCAACTCCGCTCTCCTTCCTAGAAACCCTGAAACTTGTTCCTCCAACTGCTAAAAGGCAACTTGAAGTAATAAAATGTGACACCCAGGGGCTTCTGAGTAAGCATGACGAGGTGGCACTCAGAATGTGTTGCTGGTTTCAGATTCCCAGTAACACAAAACATGAACTACAGATTTATTTTCTGACATTATATCGCTCATCAGGTAACTACTGAGAAAAATCCATGCTTCAAAAAAGTGATGAAAATTAATTGGTAGGCCAAATACTAATTAAAATGTGGAGCTATTAACCATAAAACAATTATATATTGAGACATTTTAATATAAAAACACTGTTCAAATATCCAAACCTAGATGCATTAACATGGTGAAAAGACGAATAACAAAACTGAGAAGATAAACGAGGAAAAACACTAAGAGTTTCAGAGCAAAAGGTGAGAACAAGTGAAGTTCTTACCCTTGTGGCTGTGCACTCCAGACTAAATAAAACTCAAGAAACCTACAGTTCAAAAAAACAGAGAACAGACTAGATTTTTTTTTTCTTTGCTCCTCGCCACAAAGTGTTGTTTTCCTCTCAGGGGGGACCAGGAGAGAACTTTACAAAGTTCATGTAACAAGCAGTTAAGTCTATCTCTGAAGGTCTGAAGGCTATTAATCCTTAATCCGTTAACTGTGCCACACAGATGCACGCTCTTGCACGCAAACACTCATCCAGAGCCGTGCTTCTCTTTTAACAAGCCAGTGCCATGAGGCAGATGGGTGGGTCGGGTGCATGAGCAGACTGAGATGAGAACATTGAATAAGCAAAATCTTTCAGTTCCCTTTGAAAGGACAAACACATCATTGAATCACACATACAGTGCAAGCACATTAGTCACACAAACATATGCTTTTTTTTTTTTTTTTGCTGAGTGTCAAATTTGCCCATCGCTTCTCAGCATGACGAAACAATAGACCAGCGTAAACTTCTCTGATTATGGTCATTATCAAACCACATCATTGTACACACTGCTCCCTCCAGGCTGTTTTCCCTGCTCCACAACGGCACTAAAGCACGCGTGACATCACCACACAGGTCATAGATTTACTATAACAGAGCGGCTGCTGGATGCAATTCCACAATCGCAAGATGGGCGAGTGAAAAACGGCACATGCAAGTCATAAAAAGCGGCGATGAGACAGTAGGATGACAGGAGTTGACGTATTAATCAAAACTTCCTGTCAGCTCCTCTCGGACAGCAGGAGAAGGGCAGAAACTTCGCTGGCAAGCAAACAGATCATTGTGACAGTGGTCCCACAGCTCTAATAAAACCATGTGTGCATGCCAGCACTGGAGAGGCTATACATTACCCCCCTTCAGTCCAATCCTGACACTTTGCATGCCAAGTAATTGACAGTCTGAGGAATTTATTAAAAAGGAAAAGGCGCAATAAAAAAACACTGATGGATTGTGGAGAGTAGAGAACAGAAGTGGGTAAAATAAAAAGCATAAAACGGAGTGTCACTCAGCCAGGCGTTTAGCCATGAGTTGTAAGGAGTGCTTACTGTGCGTCTCGGTAATGTGCTTGTACATGGCGCTTCCTGTTTTGTTTGTTTAAGGGATTAGAAACTGTGCGTGTTCAAAGTCATTCTCTGACTCTTATCAGTAATGGGACCTCTTAGTTATAAATGTGCATAATAATAATGCCCTTAAGGATGTTTACAAGGTGGAAACAAGAATGAGGACTGTCTGACATGCATTTATTACCTATTACAATGGGACTGAGTCAACTTTTGGACATTTTAATACATTGCCTTCATTGTTTTAGGTAACAGTTCAGATCTTTTGAAGTGGATCTCTATGAAAAAGTTATGAACTATGAATATCTTACTCTTTTAAGGAAAATAAGGAGAAATAAGGTGTTGTTTCAAGCTGCAGGAGACAATTTCAAATGATTTATGATGATTGATTGTAGTTTGTCTGTGCTTTCACATCGATACCACTATGGTCGTTTATCATCCTTACATTCATGAAGTCTTTTTTAGTTCATGAGAGGTGATTTTTTTTTTTTTGGCTCAATAGGAGGTTTGAGTGATGTAACGGGATGTGACAATGACTGGCCGAACAAGTCGAATGCCGTTCCACCACCTGCGGTATTCAAACTGCAATCAGATTGCTAATGTAGAAGCTTTGGGTTGTTGGTTTCTTCTATAACACAATCCTCCCTGAATGTGCAGCACAAAGTAGACCTCCATTTATGAGTCCTCATTCCTACAACTCTTTCTTCTAAACGTGTGAAGTCCTCGTTCAAACTTCACTTTAAAAATCCAACCATTGCCCTACAAAACACCAAGTCCTCCTTTGTTGTTTACGGTGAATATTTTGTGCACATGTGCACTAATTGTCACCACCAGTTAAGCGGTGCACAGACAAAGTGTGTGAGGATCTGTGTTTTGTGTCTTGTGACCCGTTTGTTTTCCTGCTCTCTCTTGTGTTGCCAACTCCTGCTGCACCTGTCCCTCATTGTCCTCTCCCAGGTGTTTGTAATTATTTCCTTGTTAGCGTCTTTATATTCCACGGCTGTGTTTTTCCTCCTTATCTGTGCATTATCCTGTCCAGGCACAGTGCTGTCTCCCAGCTCTTATGCATGAGTTTTGCTGCCACGTCAGCCTCTTTTGCTTTTTTTTTTAATAAATATTAGTATTTTACCTTCTGGTTCCCCCAGTGTCTGTCTGCACATTGAGTTGAGTCTACCACCAGGTGGTGAGAGAGCAAACAAAAGGCGGCAACAATTCTCCATAGTGGAGAATGGCAGTCCTTCAAAAACTCTGTCCTGGAATCTGTTTGGTCCTAAAACACTTGAAAAGTTTAGTTTTGCTGAAGTGCGTGTGTGTGTGGTGGTGTTTTTTTTTTTTTTTTGGGGGGGGGGGGGGGGGTTGTCAACCTTCTTTCCTCAGGCAGAAGTTGTGGAGCATTAAGTGTAGAACAACTAGACTGAGGAACAGCTTCTACCCTGAAGCTGTTGTATCTCTAACCATGAAAATCACTGTAAGGGGAAAAAAAATCACTGTAATGCCACTTTAATTGATAATATGTGACTTATCTTTGCTGCTGATCTCATGCTGATGATTATCGTATGCTGTTGTTTTCATTCATATCCATCTGCTCACCACAGACTCATGTTTGGGCTGCTGTTGATACGCCATATTGTTTTACATTATTAGTGTTTAGCGAATATCTTAGATCTTTTAGCGCATATCTTAGATCCTTATATATATTTTTTATTTTAATTTATTTTTCCTTTTGACTTCTCCCTTCTTTAGGGGTCACCACAGAAAACTAAGTCACACAAAGACTTTGCAATTGTTTTTTTTTATGATGGATGCCCTTCCTGATGCAACCACAGAGCACCGAGCTACCACAGCCCTCTGTACGAAGCAGAGAGCTGCCAGGGGGAGCAGATGGTGGGGATTAAGGGCCTTGCTCAAGGGCCCAGAGTGGGGCAAATTAGGGCAGAGGCAGGTGTAGGTGCTTCACCTATCCCACCCGCATTTTGATGTTGTCGGTCCGGGAAGTTGAACCAGCGACCTTCCGATCACAGGTTCACCACCTCTGCGCCACCATTCACTGTCTTAGATCCTTATATATTGTTTCTTTCTATACTTTATATTTTTGCTATTGTTGGATGTAACTGGGATCCTGAGTACATAATTTGTTCCACCTCATGTACCACATGTGATGCAAATGATAATAAACTTGACTTGAACTTGAATTTCATAGTACATGTTGATTTGCATAGAATTCTTTATTTGTCAGTGCAAATAGCAGCAGCAGTTGGCTGTAGCATTGCTGGCAGGAATGTTGTGTTATTTCTGTTGGAATAACAAATTTGAAATTGGCAGCAATATCCAGATTTATAAAAAAGCATGTGTATGAACTGCGATGAAATATTTTAATTTGGAGTTGTTTTTAAGCAGCAAGTCACTGTGGTCTTCACGTCACATCTTCTGATTTGCCATTAGCTTGTCCATCCTAATTTAGAGTTCCTGACTTGCATATTCTACAATTACAAAAAGTTGAAGAAAACATCTTACTATTCAAGAAATTTAAATTTTAAATTTTAATTTAAATAGACGTGATTTTAACCTTTTTTTTTTTCACATAATTGCCATATTTGCTTTTGAACTTGATGCAGCCTAAGTGAAACAGGAAGTAACATCAAAGGGGGACTCTTTAAAAGGGGAACACCCTGACCTTTCTTAAATTAAACAATATTAATTGAACTTTGACTCTTCTTGGTCTCTCTCTAATGATGAATTAAAATGATCTAAGGAAACATCAGATTCTTTTCTACTGTCTGTGTTGTTAGCCAATGGCATTCCCCTTTGTCATAGTTTCCTGTTGCTGCACATGTGAATATCTCAACAACTATTTATCTCAGCAGCATGAATTCTTTTGCAATACGTTATTAATGTTATTTTCCCAAAATTCATTACTATTTATTACAAAAAATGATATCACTGGCACTTTAAACTCTAATTTTTTTATTTTATTTTATTTTATTTTTTTTTTTCTTGATGGCCTCCCTTCTCCCCTTACAGCCATCCTCTCCACACCATTATTATGAAATATTTATTATAGTGACTATCTAGTGTAGGGGTTTTTTTTTTTTTTTTTTTTAATAGGATAGAAAGAAAGAAAAGACAAAGTAAGACTCCAAAATATAAGAAATATATACAAATAGAGCACACATCAAAACACCCGGCCACTGTCTGTTCACCTGCAAAGAACATGACAAAACACAGCAACAAAATACATATGTATAAAGAACTTAAAATATTCATGGCTTTGCAGTAAGTTTCCATAAATATATATACCCATACCTACGCCTATATACATACATACATACATACACATGAATATACACTCACATACATATCTATATGTCTACATTTAAAGCCTACATAAGCATCCCTGCTTCTATTTGTGTGTGGTTGTGAGCATGCATAAGTGTATAAGGCTTCTCTAATAGAACATTTATTAGTAACTGTGAAGCAGCAGAGACCCGACCCCCAAGACCAGAGGCAGACGAAAAAGGGGGGACCAGAGCCCAAGACCCCAGGAGGGACCCCGACCGCAGAGCCCCCAGAGCCACCCACACAGGACGAACCACTCACCCACCCCCCAGAACGGACCACAGGGGAGAACCGGAAGATCCCCACCAGCAACCACATACAGTGACCCCCCGGGGCCAACAGCGACAAACTCATAGGCCCCCGTCGGCACCCGCCGCACCGATGTAGGTCCAGGTCCAGGCACCGAGGCCCGGGCACCGAGGACTCACACCACCCAGGCCAAGGCCTGACAGGGCCAGAGGACCCGAGCCCCACCAGGCAGACACCAGGTCGAGCCGACACACGCCCAAGCGCCCAGCCCCCGATACCAAGGGCCCCAAGCGCGCCGGCAGGCAAGGGCACACCCCACCAGGGGGCCGCGCGATAGGGGCGCGATGCCAAGCACCCCCAGTTGTATCAAAGAGGGGGCAGTCCGAGTCTCGGCCTAACAAATACCCA